CTTTATAATTATTCTCTCTACAAAGGCAAAGTTCCATCTTATAAGGGCTCACGAAACCATCCATAATAGATCTTCATGGTCAATTTCTAAAGAACCCAACAACAAAAAGAGGAGCGATGAAGTGAATAGCATACGAGGACTGCGTCCTTGAGTAGGAGCAATTCATTAGAATCTTTGATGTAGCCACCCTTCATGTCCTAGTAAAAGACTGTTTCACCCTCAAGAGTTGTCTTCACGATATCTTCTCAACAATTCAAAACATAACTAGTATTTTTTTTATATGGGTTCACATGAATATCACGTGTTATCTATGTAGAGTTCACATAGATTAAAATACATACATCATCGCTTAAGTGTATCAATATTTGAAAATGTTAATTTTTTTATACTGGTAAAATAATGTTTTGCATATTTTTAAAAATTGCGAGTCGATTTAAACCCAAAAAATAAAAAATAAGAATGCAATTTAAAGATTTTAAATATTTAATATCTCTATCATCATTTTATACTCATAAGTAATAGACTTTAAAATTAAAACTCCTTAAATTTAACTATTCCACACCATAAGTAATTGAAGAAATAACAAAATTTTTATTACCTTATGATTTACTAAAATTTAACATAACGAAACCAATTTTTAGGATTTAATTGTAAAGTAACTAATAGGTTCACTAAAACAATAACTCGTGCTAAAAATTATAATATGTTATATTTAATCTTATAGTTTCCTTCTTTTAAATAATGCATTGTAATGTTACCAAAGTTTACCTTTATTTTTTTACCGTATCAAATCATTGTCACCCACTTTTTTAAAACTTTTTACTTATTATGAAGCAGAAGCAAATTATTAGCTTATCATAAATTTGTTTATTCTGTGTAATCATCGTATAAGCCAATAGAATATGGATTTGTGTTGTGGATTAATTTTAAACTATATAAATCATTTCTCATTTTTAATTAATTTTTTTAAATTTAATTACAAAAATTTTAATTTATTACTTAAAATAAATAAATTTTAAATAAATTAATAATAATTATAAAAGTAGTCTTCTACCTTTCCTAATCAACTTTTAATTTAATTATTAACTTTCAATTATACAAAACTAAATTATTATTTTTTGAAAAATCAATACATTAAACCCAAAACAAAAAAAACTCTTATACAATATCTCCTGTATGATTTACTAAAAAATTAAGACAGAGTCCTTGAAAGCTTCTATATTTCGGAATCATGGACACCAGGTAGCATTAAAATAGGAGATTTCCAAAAGAAATGTATTCTCCACATTTCCCATGATTGATAAGGTCCACACAACACATGAAACATATGCAAATAGTTATATCTCCTTCCCCACCACCCCCCCAATAATGGTCTCCTGATGAAAGTAACAGAAAAAGGAAAAGGAAAAGCACTTCCCCAGATCATTATACCCTTCTGTTTGCAGGATTTCGCCATGCGAAATGGGTTTGATAAATTCAAATCGTAAAAGATCCCTCTTACATACGACCCTATTTCCATTTGTATATGTAATGGACGGTGATAATTTTAGAGGAAACAAGCAAGAGATCTTTTATCGCTTCATTGAGCGTGATGATGCATGGACTATGAACTCCCAAGTGTATAAGCCGTGTGATATGAATATGTTGATTGTTGCAAATCCGTTGAGTTAGCTTCTAGAGATGATATCGAAATATGCATGCTAGAAGAAGTTTTAAATAGGAGATAGATATAAATAGATCAAGAGCAAGCACAGCACATAGTCTAAAAGTAACATAAAATGGCATATGCTGCAAGCATCACCAAGGAGGGACTCGGGGGCAGATATTAATCACACAAGGTAAATTACATCCACATAATCTAATTAAAGAAAACACCAACCACATAGTCATAGACTTGCCAAGAGATCCCGAGTCTCATGCTGGAAGCACCAAGAAAGGGAGAAAATCGAAAACCAATCCGCAACTGAAGTCTTGCAAACACAATACTAGCTAGTCCATGCCAGCAACACCACCAATTATGCGTCCTACACAAGTAACAGAGGAGGAGAAAATTAAGGGAGAAAGAATGATAAAATGAGCTTCAAAATGTAAGAAAGATTGGAGTAAGTTCCCAAAGTAATGCACTTAGTTGAGAAGAAGCATACAAAAGGCCTTATCTTCCAAAGCTGATTGTCTCCTTTATTCCATTTCCAGAGCACAATTATAGTGCCTTCACGAACACCGCCAGATTTCTTATCCCCGTGAAAGGCATCAACATTCAGCCGAGTGTTGTTAACCATCCTTATGGTCCTGAAATCATCACCAAAGTCCTTGCTCTGGCTCCACAGTACAGACTCATCAAAATCATCAGGTTTATAAGGCCTCAGCTGCACCTGCAGAAATATAACAAGAGAGGCAAGAACACGGGCTCAAGAAAAATGCTCAGAAGTTTGTCACATATCGAGATAACTCTCAAGCAAAAGAATGTATGATCTTGCTTTAATACGTGGAACTTACAGAGAACCATAGAACAAATAGTTCATCTGTTTTATATAGTATATAAGAGCCTAAAATTTCGATAACCTGCACTTCAACTGCTAATATGATTAATTCAGAAACAATTTTTAAGCAAATGGAAATCTTTTCATATTAGCCTGATGTATTTTTTGAGTCGTTAAATACAACAAATACAACTCAAAGCATAAACAAGTAAAGCAAAAAGACAATTACAGAGAGTTCTCACAGGATGAGTATCTCCAATGGAATGCTTCATGGCTTCACCAGTGGCTTTATTAACCAGAGCAAAGGAGGGTAGGCCTTCTTCATCCTTAACTCTTGTTGAATACTTCTCATCTTTGAACCAGTGCTACAAAAACAAAACAGTAAAACCAAATCAAACCAAGAAACATAAAATAGTTAAACCAGCATATCAAAAATCAAAATTCGTGACTCGGAATAATGTGAGAAAAATATCAATATATGGAAAATGAAATGGGTTTTGCTATCTTGATTAAAAAATACCCATGGCAATAATCAAAATCTCGTATCTAACAAGCATCAAAAGGAGTCTCAATGAAGCCAACCAGAACACTAATAAGACAAAACATGCACAAATAACAGACAAATCGAAAGGGTAAATTAATAAAGATTAAAAAGCTTAGATTTTTTTTTAAAAGTAACGAGGGAAACCCAAGCAAATAGATGATTGATCGATCAATGGGCTGACATATATATACCTGGTACTCATCTCTTGGATCAGATCGCACAAGAATGACCTTGCCATCTCTGATGGCGAGAGAGTAATCAGGATTCGCCTTGCAAAAAACCCTAACAGTGCGTCTAGAGGATAATCCATCACCACTTGACTGATGAGTGTGCTGGTGCAGGAAAGAAGGGAGATGAGGCCTGAAAGGATCATGGGTCTCAGCTTCCGGTCGATAAGAGTCGGGATTCCCTTGATGAGAAAACTGGATCACTTCTGTTTCCGGTGCGGGGGCATAATTATGATAACCTGGTCGCTGATCGTGACGATACCCATGAGTCATTTCTGGTTCTGGAGGGTAATTGTGGTAGCCTGACTCCGGTGGGTAATCGCCGGAGTGATGCAGATGGGTGACCTGGGTGGGTGGCCGTGGTTGGTAATTGAAGGAATCTGGGTCTTGCTGATTGAAGCCAGCGGAGTGGTGGGTGTGGGTTACTCGAGTCGGTGGTTCAAACTCGTTGTGTTGGTAGTAAGAGGGTGGTGGTGGTGGTGGAGGATCGGAAAATTCAGCGGCGGAAGGTGGCGGGTAGTGTGGCCTTTCTCTGTCATCTTCTTCATCATTTCTGCGGTGGTGGTGGTGGTGGTGATGACCGAAGGGGAACTCCATTATTGCTGATGATTATCGTTGATGCTGATTCTGCTGTTCTCGTCTAATCTTAAAGAAAAATTATAATATATATGTGTGAATATACTTCGAATAATATTCTTTTACTTAAATTTTACTACCATAATATTTTTTTTAGTTCAAATATGTTATATTCAATTTTATTAACATAATTCTGCTAACATATTAATAAATTCTGAATTTTATTAAATTAAATATTATAAAATTTTATAATTATAACATTCAAATAGACTGTAAAAATTTTAGCAATTACATTATTATATTGGTGATAATTAACCTTTATTGTGGATATTATTAAATGATATATTTATAATTATACTAGAATAATTTTTGGGCTAAAATAATCATCTAATTCCAACACTATTAAACTTTTGTTCAAATAAATTCCTTCAATTAGATGAACTCATTTGCTTTTAAAAAAATTTCGATTTTATTCCTCTATATTACCAACTTTTACTGTTGTTAAGTTAATTTTTTCTTGTTAAATTTAACAATACATAATTATAATTGATTAGTGTGACAATTGAATATCACATCAGATATCACGTAATATTTAAACTAACCTTGAAATATTAGATTTAAATTGCTCCACAAACAAAACAAAAATCAACTCATAAACTTCTTCTTTGTAATCTCCACTTCGTCATCCTCCACGATTTTCTTCTTCTTCTTCTTTGTAGTCTCCAAAACTCGAAAATTTTAATCTCTTTTTCTCTCTCTTGTTTAAATATTTTATAGTTGTAAGAAGTTACAGTTATATAATTTTTTTTATGGAAATTCTCAAAATAAGTAACGCAAGGAGTTGGGTTGTTGTAATGTACTAGTGAATGTTGAGGATTATAGGGATAAAATGAAGGGCTAATATTAGATGAGAAGGGAAATATAAATAGGGGTGGGCTAAGATTAAAAAAAAAGAAAAAAAATGAGAAAAAGAAAAAAAAGGAAACACGAGAAAAGGATGAGAGATTGGGCTACAGGGGAGAAGGGAGATTGAGGAAATTTGGATGGGGATTCAGGAGAGGGAGTCGAAGAGAGATACGAGTGAGGGCGTTCTACAAACCTAGGAGACGATGGAAGCCAGATGTAAATAAATTCTCAATTTCGGGCTTTTTGGTAATATAATGTGAATTTCCATCTGGTCGATTCGGTGTTTGATTCATGATTTTGAAGGAGTAGAGCGGCGAAGAATGGTGAATAGAGATTGTTTAGTGTAGAAGTGAAAGGAGGAGGCCAATCATAGAGTAAGAGTGTGGTGAATGCTGTGTTTAGGTTTATGTTCAGTGAGGGAGAAGATGAGCTAGAATGTGTCTGAAGTAGTGGCTGTAGGTGGGAGAGGGAGTCTACATGAAACTGGAAATGGTGATGTGCATTGTCATTTCGAAGTGTTGAAGTGCAGATGTTGGTGTCGAACTGGAGTGTTGGTGAGTCGATATTGGCGACGGTAAAGAGAAAGGTTGATGCTCCGATGCTGTTGCTATTGAAAATATGTGTGTATGTGTGGCTGATTGAGGGCCGGTGCGTGTGAATGTGCACTGTATGTGCAAGTTTGAGAGATGTGACTGCATGTATATATGTATATTACAGATTTATGCACGTGGCCGATTGGAGTCGGTGTGTGTGAGTGTGGATTGTGTTTTATGAGTTCTGCTTTTGTGATTGCCTCGACAGATGTGGTGTGTATATGTATGTGCGACTGGTGTGTGCGTGAGTGGCCGAACTAAGGTCGATATATACATATACATATATATAAATAGTGTTTACGATTGATTGTGATGTGGTGGCAAAGACGAGGCTGTGTGCGTATTTTCACTGTGTGGAGTATGAATATTGATGTGGTAGTTGTGTGGGTAGCCATTAAAGGTCGGTATGGGTACAGGAAACGTAGGGATGTGTCCTAGAGGTAATGTTGTGGTGGTGCTGTTATAGTGTGGAGGTGTAGGGTAAGTGAGCGTAGCGTATGGGCTGGTATGAATGTGATATAATAGTTAATAAAGTGAGTTGAAGTGAGATAGATGGGTGGAGGTAATGAGATGGTGGTCTTGTCAGATAGGTGTTACTAAAAGGTCATAGGGAAGAGAGAGAATAGTGTTGTGTTATAGGTATAGGGGTAGTGCCAGATTAAAGGTTTAAATATATTTTCATACTTTGTTTGAAATTATGAATTTGTTATACAGGGTTAGAGTATGCTCACTGTATGTCATTTACAGATACAATAAGGCAAAATTCAGAGTTAAAAGCCCAGATGGTGGGACAATACGTAGAGGAATCAAGTTAACTGGACATTAACATACAAAATTCACACTAGACATTCATACGAGTTTACTTCTCTATACTAGACATACATTCTTTCCCTTTTTGGATCATATGTCACTCGAAACTATTAATTGTAAAGTAGAACTAATAGGACTGATATAGGTGACTATTGAATTGAATGCATGTTGTTTATTTGGATTTGAATGAGATCGTGAATATAAATGAATGGAGCACATGTGAAATTTAGGGCTATAAAATAACCAGGGGTGTTACAGTTGGTATCAGAGCAAGTTCTTAGGGTTAAATTATGTGGTAGATTGTAGGCACATTTCAGGGCGAGTGACTGATGGAGGCTATTGTGATGCAAGTAGACAAGGATAAGGGATGAGGATAGACAGAGGTCGTCCTAGGAGGGGATCTACCCCAACACCTCAGGATCCACCGACGGCACCGTAGGGAGCGTATTCCTTTCATAAGGTGACCCTCTCTGCTCTTTAAGAACTGACCACTTATCCACTTGCACCACCCACTACTCACCAGAAACCAACTTCCGCTCCACCAGCACCATAAGTGGGGAAAATAACTAGTCATCAAAATGATTTTAACCGCTTGTGTAGAATGGTCGAAAGCTTGGCAATGATGATACAAAAGAGAGAATTCTGAGCAGAGGCCTAGTACATCCCATAATATAATGCTAGTCAGGGTGGAGTAGACACGAGTAACATTGAGAAGTATTAGATGTTCAATCCTTCGGCATTCAACGGGGGCTCCGATCCACTTGTGGCTGAAGATTAGATAAAAAAAATCGAGACACTATTTGATGTAATAGAAGTTACTCCGAAACAAAAAGTACAACTAGCTACTTTTAAATTGAAAGGATCGGCAGAGTGATGGTGGAGTTTAAAGAGGGGGGCCTTAGTCCCCCCAGTAACTTGAGAAATGTTCCTGGAGGCCTTCAATGCAGAGTATTTTTTAGACTTTATTAGACAGCAGAAAGAAAGTCGAGTTTGTAAAGTTTCGACAAGGAAAACTGTCAATGGCGGATCTACAAAAAGATATATAAGCTTGGGACGATTTGCTCCAGAGGTTATGATGAATGAGTGGAAGAAGGCTAGGAGGTTTGAAAAGGGGTTAAGACCGGAACTGTATTATCAGGTAGCGATATTCGCCTTACCCACATATCAAGCAGTGTTGGAGAAGACACATCTACTAGAGACCCTGCTTAGGGAACAACTAGAGTACAATAGAGGATTTTTCGGCCACAAACGGATACCATCACAATCTAGCCAGAATAAGAAAAGACAGAGAACAATGTAAGACTTAACTCCATGTCACCACATAACCCCGAGGAGTACAGATTGTCCATGTTATGGCAGGAGTCATGGAGATTGCCCGTGTACTGTAATTAGTTGAGGATGCTACCGATGTGGCAATACCCAGCACTTTGTGCAGGATTGTTCCCTACTTAGGGAGCCCAGTAGACCATTGGTGCATGGTTTGGTATTTGCCCTTATTGCTTAAGATACAAAGGCCACTCCAGAAGTGATACAAGGTATACTCTATGTTGTGGTTTTGTCTGCTAGGGTTTTGATTGATTCGGGAGCCATACACTCATTCACTTTATGCATGTTTACATCTAAGTTGAGAGTAGACCTGGTAGTGTTAGATTGCGTACTTACATTATCCACACCCATTAGTGGTGTCCTACATACTAATGTAATATATAACTAATGTGAGGTAGAAGTATCCGGGAGGGAATTAGAAGCAAATTTGATTATGTTAGATATTAGAGATTTTTATGTAATTTTAGGCATGGATTGGCTCGCCACTCATCATGCACATATAGACTGCCTCCGTAAAGAAGTGGTGTTTAAAATTTCAAATGAAGAGCCCTTCGCTATGTAAACAAAAGAGGGACGAATTGTATTGCATAAAAAAAATTACATTTTGGGTTAGAGGTGGTAATAAATGGTTGTACTTTCATTGATTATTATACATCATAATGCATGATATACTGATGGGTTATATGATTGTGGTGTGCGACATTTTGAGTTCATATACGAGAAAAGTAATGTTCTTACTAGCGTGTTTGATAGGTCAAGTGCGTAAGGGACTCATTTTGCAGGAGATACTAGTAGTACGAGACTTTCTTGATGTATTCCCCAATGACCTCCTGGCTTACCAACAGAAAAAAAAAAGTTGAGTTCACAATAGAGTACAACTGGGAACACAACCTATTTTCAAGGCCCCATACAAGATGGCAAGATCAAAATTATTGGAACTGAGAAAGCAATTACAGGAGCTATTGGATAAGAAGTTCATAAGACTGAGTGTGTCATCGGGGGGAGCACTGGTATTGTTTGTTAAGAAGAAAGATGAGATTATGTGCATGTGCATAGACTACAGAGACCTAAATCAAGTAACCATAAAAAACAAGTTTTCACTCTCGAGGATAGATGACATTTTTAATCAGTTGCAAGGGACTAGAGCATTTTTAAAGATAGACTTATGGTCTAGATATCCCCAGCTGAGAGTGAGGGCTGAGGACATATCAAAGATGATGTTTCACACCAGGTATAGACACTTTGAATTTCTTGTTATGCCTTTCGGACTAAAAAATGCACATGAAATATTCATGAATCTAATGAATCGAGTATTCAAACCCCTCTTAAACTACTATATGATAGTGTTTGTAGATAATATACTGGTATATTCCAAAGATTCAAAAGAACATGTTAAACATCTAGCGATTGTATTGAAGATCCTTCGAAAGTTCAGGTTGTATGC